ATATATATATAGTATAGTCCATATATCCTTCACCACTTGTTACTGAGGTTGAGCAGAGCAGCTAACGTGTACACACTGTACAGCTTCTAGCTACACTACTGACTTCTATAATGAATTATGACATCAAAATGAAGGAGGCGCCCACGTGTGGTGTTAAAAAGGTACTACAACCTGCATACTGACTGGAGGAGGGGGCGTGACCAATAGACCATCTTAGCACCAACATAACTGGTTTGCTCCAGTTTGGAGTAAGCTGTTGGGGGAAGAATTAGTTTTGTGTCGTGCGTTTCCTTGACTGATGAAGCCTTCTGGATCGAAGGCGAAACGTTTCAGCACACAAAAATAAACTGTCCAGATGACCTGACTGAAAATTGTTGGATACATACTGACTGTTACAATAGTTAAAGTAATGTCTTCAAATGTGTCAGTAAGAAGGCAGCTGGGGGGTTAGAGTTAGTCAGAGAGCAGCACACAACCTTTATATCTTAAAAATACAATTTTTTTTTCCAACTTTAAGTTTCTCTTTTGCCGTCTCTCGTCTGCTGGGCTTGCAAAAGCAACTCTTGGCAAAAATATTCTTCTACTTAGGTTGGCAAAAATTAACGAGACGCAAGACCAGAGGCGACATCAGAGGAAATTTACCAAAAACTGACAGATAACTCGAGACAAACCGAGCTACAGACAAAGGTTTTGACTTTAGTTTGTTATCAAAGCAAAGTTTAAGTTGGGAACAGCCGGCGCTGTAATAACCTCGAGGTATGTACAAACGGGAACAACTCACTCTGTTCAAAGTTCTGTTACCAACCAGTAAAAGCATTTTTTTTTTAAAACCATTTCACCGATTTTCCTCTGACAGATGACTTTGGGTCAGAGGTCATGAAGAGAGAGGGGTCCCTTCACGCTACAAGTGCGCAAGCTGCTTGTGCGGATTGCGTACATAGTTCGTCAGACACGTGAGCAGCTGGGGTTCTGGTTAAGCCGCTCGGTGTGAGAAGCTTGAGCAACCCGGGGGCGAGGCTGAGCCCTGACGTGAAGCAGCATGCAGCCGATTACTTCCATGTGTTCATCCGTCACTCAGTTTCTTTCTTGCACAATTTCCTCTAGTTGTTTGCTTTAGCGCTCTGAAATTGTTCAAAACTCTTCCATTTTTATCAGATCGCCTGTAGATTAACAGTTTTGGTGCAACCTTGCCATGAAGTGAACTAATGGATTAACAGTACATACGTAACATACGTCGGTTGTTTTCTTCACATTTCGATGAAACGGGTCAATCATTCATTATGTCCGATGCAAAAACACTAAAAAAAAAAAAAAAAAGAAACAGGTTTTTCTCGTCGCCACAAGCTTAGAGCAGCTCGGCACTTTAAGACGAGGAACGTGATCCAGATTACAGGTCGGTAGGCTTTAGTGTCAGCTGAGGACGCATAAAAACAAGGTCCGAATGTTGCCGTCTATACCAAAGTTCATGCGTCGCCATCTACAATTCATCATCGCAGGCGATTGTTGATTTTAGCCATGGACACTTCCCCTAAATAAGCCGCTATATTTATCACCTGCCATCATGAAAGGTGGGCGATGACATAGTTGTACTTCATGGTGGAGTTTGTTTGCTAAATATCTCATGAACCACTGGACGGATTTTAACGACGCACTCAAAACTTAGCATCTACAACTGATACTTTTGGTATTGACCTGATTCAAGATGGCTGCTACGGCTAATCGCCCTTAGCAAACAACAATTAAATCACTCAGTTTTATAGATATTCCGCTCAAATGTGGTGTGGTAGTAGCCGAGAGCCATTTACAACGGACACGCGGAGAACTAGACGCCAGGTGAGATCTTTTCCAAAAACCTTGGCATTAACTGGGGCGTCAACACTGTTAGCAAAACATCTCACGAACCGCTGAACAGGTATTTATGACACTCCCAGAAAGTAATCACTGGATGAAGCTCCGCAACCACTTTACCTTTTGGAGGGAACCGGATTCAAGATGGCCGCCACAGCCATCAGACCTTAATACCTGTTGATTAGATGTTGGGAATCAAAACTAAACCGTCCTCAAATGTTTCCGTGTTCTGGAAGAACTCAGCCGAAGAAATGCGTGTGCGGTCTGGACTTGAAGGACCCCCTCCTGAAGACGTCCACGTTATCGCCGTCGTTGAAAGACGCGCTGTGGACGATCTGCGACGCCCTCAGGCGAAGCTTCTGCATTTTGGGCTTTATCACGTTGAACGAGGACCTCCTTCGTATTGGTTTCTCCCCGGGCTGGCCCGCCGCCTCCAGGGAGTCGTCGTTGAGCAGCTGGGGCCTCAGGCTAGGCTGGAGAACCTTGGAGAACCTCCAACGGCCTTCGCCCCTACGGTCGGTGTTCTCGGACTCGGAGTGCTTGTAGGCCCCTACGATGTCCTGTATGTCCACGCTGGCGCTGTTGGCGAGGTACTGGCAGGCCTTCCTGCCACTGTAGTCCCTGACCTCCACGTCTGCGTTGAAGGCCCCCACCAGGAGCTTCACCACCTCCATGTGGTTGTGCATGGCGGCGACGTGCAGCGGCGTGTAGCCCATGTTGGACCGGACATCCACGCTGATGGGAACCTTGTGCTCCTTGGCGAAGTGGAGGATCAGCGCCATCAGCTCATGCTTGCCCTGCTTGGCGGCCCAGTGGAGGCAGGTGAAGCCAGTCACGAAGTCCTTCTTCTGAACGAGGCTAGGCTCCTCGGCGAGGAGGCGGCGCAGGCTGGTCCACTCGCCATCCGACGCGCACAACATCCACTCGTGCTCCACGGGGTCGAGGGTCACGGTCATCCCGTCGTCTTCGACAACGGTGGAAACCTGGGACGAGGAGTCGCTGTTGCGCCTGGAGGACCGGTGGACGGAGTTCCTCAGGGATGCGCTGCGCCGCACCTCCGGGGAGCTGTTGATCATCACCTGGATGAAGTGTTTGCGGCTGTGGGTTGGCGTGACGTTGCCCTCGCTCTCAGACAAACTCACACGTGACTCATCATCCACGGCGTTGGACGCCTTCGGGCTGCCAGGCGTCTCAACCGGTCTCTTTTTGGGACCGAGTCCAGTTCCTTCAGGCCCGGGCAGGTCCAACGCAGCTTCCTCATCAGGGAGAGGCAAAGCTTCATCAACTGTGATTTTTGGTATGGCAGGTTCGCCCTGCTGCACCTTTACGGACCTGCTGGGTCTCTTGACGCTCCCTCTGTTCCCCATCCCAGCCGAGTCCACGTCCTCCACGAGACGAACGAACTCCAGCCGCGCTCGGTTCTGCTCGGTTCGCTCCGCCAGACTCTCAGCTGCGACAAAACGCGGAACTCTCGCCTTTTCGTTTCCGGAACCTGCGCCAGGTGTCGGAGCGCGTGGAGCTGCGTCATCACCGCTCACCTGTCGGACCGGAGCCGCGTCCCCCGGACTCTCTGCTCCGCTGCACGTCGAGCCTCGGAACCGTTTCTTCACGCGCACGTGTTTGACTCCTCGCTCGGTTTTCACGAAAGCGACGTGGTCGACGTAAGTTTTGAAAGCCTGCCGGACAGCAGCCCTCCTCCGCGGCTCCTCCGCGGACAGCACGGCTTTAAAATGCTCCAGCAACTCCGCGTTCGTCGCTTTGCCTCCTCTCTCCTGCAAAAAGTCCAGAACCGACTCCTGGGTCAGTTCACTGGCCATCGCGCTGCCACCGTCAGTTCTTTTTATCAGCAAAACATGGCGACACCATTTTATTTATGCACTTATTAGCTGTGAATTATCCTCTGCAGAGAGATGAACAGACCAGAACTAGTTTGTCAGAGCATCTTAAGACAAACTGAAGCCGCTGCGGACTGAGCGCTGCCTTTTTGCTTTGGCGTTCTCCGTCTCCTAGCAACGAAGCTCGGGGGGGCGGAGCTACACTTCCGGGTTTTGCTGTTTTTTTTTTCCTTTGAATATTGAAACATTTACAAAAAAATGACTTATTTACAACAAATCTATAACAAACACAGAAATATACGCATCTATTGTATTCAAATAATTTGGGTAACAGAGGTTGAACAAAAAATGAAATAAAAATAAATGAATAAAACAAACAAAACTATGTTAGGGGATTACTATCTGAAACTCTTCTATTAACTCGTACAATTTTACTGCGTTTGTGTTATGAATCTTACTCAGACATGTTTTGAACAAGGACAGTTCAACCGGGTTTTGCTATTAAATGCGTCTGTTGGGGCGGTACATGAAGAAAAAACAAAAACAGTATAATCTAGTTGCTTTACAAATGATATGATTATATTTTAAAGGCTTTAATCAAACTGTAAAATAAAAAAAATATATGGATTTAAAGATCAAGTGGTGGCATGCGGGATGATTCAGGGTCACCAGAGGCGCTCCTCCGGCCCTCTGGGAATGGGGGCTTGGATGTGAGTGTGGTGGTGGTTAGAGTTGCACTCGGGTCCAGATAATCCGAACAGCCCCAGCCCGCAGCCATCATCTCCGAACCCCACCCGATCCGACGAATTAACAGTAATTACAGGTCAGAACTCGACCCCCCCCCCCAAAAAAAAAATTTTTAAATTAAGTTTACACCAACTATTATTAACAGTTGGCAGACATGCGCGGCTGAGTAAAGGGGGCAGACGATCAGAGCTGAGGAGCCATCAAAGTGCATTAAATGCTTCCTGTATGGAACACCAAAACGCTCAAAATTAAATAAAGCATTATGAAAGGAGTATCTAAGCTCATTATTATGAAAAATTTTCATTTTTATTATTTTATTTCACAATTGTGTTTTCCGTGGCTTTAATTATTTCACAAGTGTGTTTTTTTATGCTAGCTTATTTATTTCATAATGGCGTTTTTCATAATGCCACTTTTCAGCGTATGACTTCAGCTGTCAATCAACGTCAGTGGGTTGGACCAGCACGCCCACTGGCTTCGGGTTCGAAATGACTGCTCTAGTGGTGGTTCCCAGTGAATTTACTAAAGGATTCAGTTTTCTTTATTTCTTCTTTTTTTAATAGCCTTTATTTATTGTATAATTTTGTATGGCAAATCAAGCTTTTTGATTTATTTATAGAAAATGCTATGACAGGTTTATCATTAATATAGTAAAAAATTTGTTATTGTGATCATGACTTTTTTTTTGGCAAAACGTTTCATCTTTTTGTATATACATATACATATATATAGGCATAACTTTATACTTTTTAATGACTAAATAAGCTGATGGATGCCTTGAGGTGATGACACAATTTTACCATTATTGCGCTTAAACATGCCTTATCTTTTGATTTGTGGTAAGATAATTTTAGTTTTTACTGTAAAACAAACATTTTTGTCTTGAGATACTCAATGGCAAAATTTCATTTTTAACTAAATGTTTTTTAGGGCAAAACAAGCTTTATTATCTCGCAATATGTAATTATATAATTTTACAATCATTGTGGCAAAAATAGCTTTATTGGGATTTATGCTACCATAATATTTAGCATTTTTACAGAAAAAAATAGCCTTTTTTTTTTGTTTTTAAAGTTAAAAAAAAACTTAAATTGCAACAATATAACTGTCTTTTGGCAAAAGAAGTTTTGTTCAGATATTTAATAACATTTTAGCATTTTTACAGACAAGCAAGTTTCATCTTAAAAGACCTAAATGCACAATTTTACTATTACTTCTCTAAAAAAAAACACCTTTTATATCTTTTGATTTGTAGCGACAGTTTTAGTTTCAAAGGTAAAACGAGCTTTATCTTTAGATGAATTCTAGTTTTTACTAAACACCGTCTTGAAAAACGTAATACCACAATTTTACCATTGTTACGGCAAAACGAGCTTAATTATTTTACATGATGACAAAATTTAATTTACGGCAAAATCAGCTTAGTCATCTTCAGATACGTGATGAGATAATTTCACTGCGACTGTGTTACACTAAAACGAGCTTTATATTTTCATATATAATCGCATAATTTTCTGAATTTTACAACGAAGCGAGCTTTGTTGTCCCTTTAATCCATGAAGTTTTCAATAAATCTCTTCTTCACAGTTTGATACAATCTACTCAAGTCCTAATAAAAAAATATATGTTTTAGTTACAAAATGCTGTACAGTTTATATAAAATGCCTGTATAGGTACTGTATTTGTAGCCAATTTTGAAGGGTTGTAATAAACTGGTTTCATCCCTTCCTCCCTTATTTAAAGATGATAAACACAGAAATGACCCTAACTGTAACCCTCGCTCCTCTCAGTTTTCTATCCAACTGGCTGAAAACAGGGTTCAGGTAAGGTGATGCCGTCTACAAGACTCTACCCAGTTTGGCACATTGCATCAGATGTTGGTCGCCTGTTGTATGAAAACAAGCCGGTTGCCACGTTGCATAGGACAGAACAAGAAGTAAAAGATTAAAGTAGGAGGGGTGTGTCGCTTGCAATTTAACCTGCCCACGAGGTAATTAATACTTCCTCTGCCAACTACCTGCACAGACATGATTCATGCCGACAGACATTCATAAACTCTGTTTTGTTATGATTGTTTATGGGTACAACAACAAAACGAGTCCATGCAGATTCTGTTTTTATAGATTATAGTTCGCTGTAGGCGAACCACGGAGCTCTCAAAGTACCAAACGATTGTCATATGAACAAACGTGACATTCAAGACCAGTTGTTATAAACCGATGTGAAAAAGCCTGACGGCTATTTGAAAGTGGTGTAACAAACACGACTAGCACTTTAAATGCATTAAAGGATGTAAAGAGGCCTCAGTTCCAATCCTTCCGTTTTTACTTCAATAAAATATCACAGACAAATACACAGCATGAAGTTGAGCCTCAGCAGCAGGTCAGTGACTTGTTCGTGTCAGAGACTTCAGAGCAGGAAGGATGTCACTCAGACGGTTCACACCTGGAACAACGGACAAAAACAAATCCCTACATCAGAACTACAATAAGTCACCGTCAGGCTGATTAACGATCCACTTATAATGATGATGATAATATAATCCTTTATTATGCAAGTGTGCTCTAACAGTGCAACCGTTTTGACATTATGGACTGGTTTCATACAAGATAACTTTCCTATGGATTAATGGAAACAACAGAATCTCCTGCTAAATTTGCTTTTTTAACTCATTTTTAGGTTTGCTAAGACAAACTTGTAGGGACGGTAGGAATAGCTTGTAGGTTTGTCAGGGTTGGCTTGTAGGAAATCTAGGGTTATCTCGTAGGCTTGCACGGACTAGCTTGGAGGTTTGTCTTACAGATTTATTAGGACTGGCCAGCACAGGAGTAAGAGTAAACTTGTAGTTCTGCTAGGATTAGTTTGTAGGATTATTCTGTAGTTTTGCTCAGATTAGTTTGTAGGATTAGCTTGTAGGTTCACTAGTACTGGTCTGTAGGATTAGCTTGTATGTTCGGTAGGATTAGTTTGTAGGATTAGTCTGTAGTTTTGCTCAGATTCGTTTGTAGGATTAACTTGTAGGTTTGCTAGGATTCATCTGAAGGATTAGTTTGTAGAGTTGCTAGGATTCGTTTGTAGGATTAGCTTGTAGATTTGCTAGGATTAGTTTGTAGGATTAGTTTGTAGGTTTGCTAGGATTAGTTTGTAGGTTTGCTAGGATTAGTTTGTAGGATTAGTTTGTAGGTTTGCTAGGATTAGTTTGTAGGTTTGCTAGGATTAGTTTGTAGGATTGCTAGGATTAGTTTGTAGGATTAGCTTGTAGGTTTGCTAGGATTCATTTGAAGGATTAGTTTGTAGGGTTGCTAGGATTAGTTTGTAGGATTAGCTTGTAGGTTTGCTAACATTCGTTTGTAGGATTAGCTTGTACGTTTGCTAGGATTAGTTTGTAGAATTAGTTTGTAGGTTCGCTAGGATTAGTTTGTA